AAGTTTTCAAGACAGTGGAGAACTTTCATAGCCTGCTGTATATATTGAAGAGATTTTTAGGAGATGAGCTGCAAGGCATAAAAGTATCTTCAAAATGCTTTGCAAAAGTTAAATTTATTTATCTTTTCCTAAGTCTGTTAAAGAAGTGTTGCACCCTGATCATTTTGAACTTACTAGTACTATACTACTGTACTTACACTTACTCACACTATGTATGACCTTACAAGCTATAGGCTGAGACTCAAACTTTTGTTTGGTATGCATTTTCAATTTCTCCCAGCTATTATGGATCAGTAGGACCTGATAAGTATAAAAAACTAAACATTGTCAATGATTATTAAGTCCCAATGTCCTCAAATGAGACGACAATAAACTTCCAATGTCTTCAGACAAGTACTTCCTAATTAACAGTGTCTTAGCTTGTTACTGTTGCTTAAATTGGTCAAATTTGTTGCCATACCAAACTACAAACATTATTAATTATAAATAAACACGTTTCAACTATAAGATCAGGTTTTGGACCTTGTCCACTTCTGTATCAGGACCGACTTGGCAGAGATGGCTGCCGTCTTGTTTTTACATAGATTAGTGTATTGTGCTCTTTATACCACTAGATGGCACAGAAAAGTGTCCATGATCAAGGACAACAGGTCTGAGTTAAGCAGAATGAAAAATAAGGTCAAGCAAACCCAAAATGTGATGTCCTCATATGAGGACACAGGATCTCAGGAGGATGTTTATACTACTGTCCATACTGTGTATCTCAACTGTTGTGTATTCATATTTATATTACTGCACTGCGTCTGCACTTCCCACTCATGTTCATACTGTATATATCTCAGCCTATTCATTTCACACTGGTCATACTGTCTAGAGCTAGCATATTCATATCTACACTTTACTGCAGTGATTTTCAACTAATGGCACATCGGCTAAAACTGGCCCACGATAGGGTGCCAGGTGGCCCGCTGACAATTAATCACAATTAAATAAAGTGATTCACACTGGGATTTTTTGTATTTTAAATGTAAATAACTTGTCAGAGTGCATACAAAAAGCATCAAAATAGAGCTTATTTATCAGAAACAGTGCCGGGGAGGATCCCCCGGACCCCTCGACAGAGGTCCTAGCTTGGCCCCAAATTTCCTCAAGTCCTAGACACAGGCCCCTTGACTCCAGCTATTTTGTAAAAATGGCCCCAGGGCAAAGCAAGTTCAGTATCCCTGCCTTACTGTTTATTATTGTTGAATTTGTCATACGTATGCACATTACTCTGCACTTTTTTTTTGCACCTCTGGTTACCATAAAACTTCAAATAATGGCCTGGGCTATTATTTGCTTAAATCACTGAACTCAACAGGCCTATATTTGGGACAGGCGTATATATGGGACAGGCCTTTAATTCTTCCCACACAAAACTGTTGCTCAAAGACAGTGTCTGTTACAGCACTCAAGGATTACTGCACCCGGCATTTTGACACAACACCACTTTATCCTGTTAAAACAATACTCACAACTTTAATTAATTTTTATGAAAACTTCTTTTTATTCTTTTGATCCAAGGACCTTTACAGACTAAAGGAATATGAATAACTTACAGGGTAATCAAGGAGTGGAAACATAATTTGAGGTGGTTAACAACCCGGTTTTATACATCTGAAGAAATTCTATTTAAAAAAATGAACTGCTTGGCAACCAGACTAGGTGTCTGATTGAGACAGGGCTTTATTTGTCAAAATGTGTAGCTACACTGGGCATTTAATTGAAGTTTTACAGTATTTCATTGCCTTAGTACTTGTACTCTGCAATGACAGTAAAGTTGAATCTAGTCAAATGTAAACTTATTTCACTGGTGACATTAGATCAGGTGTTGAACTGGTTTGCATTATACAGTTAGGCGTTCATGTCTAATTGGTACCTCACCTCAAGTATGCAAATGAGAAGGGAAATTTTGCATGTCTGTGATACTGTCTGCTTCATTTTTTTTTAAAGAGGGAAAAAAATCCCTTTATTTAACCTGGATGGTCCCATTGAGATCAAAGCTCTCTTTCACAAAAGCACAGAGATTTGAATAACATTAAAAGCGTTTCATAAAATATTTGTACAAAGACGGTCTCAATAGATTTCACTGTAGTTTTAAACTCATTTGGGGTCACCGTGTCTTGAAGCTTAAGATCAATCTGCAGATTGTTCCACACAGTGGTGCAGAAAACCTAAAAAGCTTTCTTTCCCTGTTCTGTTCTGACTTTTGGCAAAACACAAAATGCCCTGCATATGGACATTGTAATTTCTATTTTGCAAATCTAAAAGAAAAGATAAGTAGGTAGAAGTTTTACCAAGAATAGCTTTGCAAATGCAAACATACCAGTGACTCATTTTTGTCATAATACACAGATAATTCAATAGTGAGAAAATAACAGCTTCATTTGAGTGTTATTTAACTGACACCACAAACAATGCTCGAGGCCTCAAGACCAGGTCCCAGTCCACGCCACAAGATGGGGATGTTGGATGAGGATGCAACAACTCGTGTCGTCCTCCTGACATCCCAGGAATGTAAGCAATCACGAGATAAGCTTGTTGCTTTGGATCACAAAATGAACTTCTATAGGTCAAGTGCTGCTTTGACATAGAAATGCAACCCTTTGATCCAGATTGGATTGATACAAGACAGAGATTATTGAGCCTGAAGTGAAAAAGAAGCAAGTCTTACATGAATGTATTTTATCTAACTCATCAGTCATGAGCAACTCTTGGTATGTCTCAAACAAAAGTCCACCACTGCTCTTCTATGTTTATGTGACAGCATTTTTTCTGTTTGTCTGTTCCCGTATTGAGCCACTGTTGTGAGGTATTTCACACGATACTTACAATGACTTTAAACACACATGACTAACTGATTTTGCACCATTTAAATTCCATGTAGCCCAGTGTATAATTGTGCTTTGCAGGCTCATACCAGCCAATGCAACATCTCTATGAGTAGCATTTAGCAGTTGGGTATGAAAGAGGAAGAAACAGAGGGTGGAGATGGTTTGAGTTGCACTACGTGGAGTGATAATGACAATCCTGTCAGTTTTCTAGTCTCAAACATCTGTTTAATGTTGCAATATTATGTGATCTGTGAAGCAAAAGTCTCAAACAAAGACAATTAGGAATTATCTTATCTTACCCAGTGTAATAAGCAAGCAGCTATGTCAGCATTTTCCCTGACCTTTAGTCTTTTATTGGCCTGGGTACTGCATTTAAGAGCATTAGGAACTATTTTGACTAAATAATTTAACATTCTTATATGCAGAACATTTTTAGATTTCACAATTTGAAATGAAGATGAAATGAAGTTCAAATGGCGGCATGACAATAAGGCTTTGCTTTGGATTGGAGTCTGCTTGGCCTTGGCCAATGGGGGTCAAGTCATATGGCTTGGGGTCTGGTAGCTGCAGATGGGGGAGGGGTTGTTTTCTTTCAATATCTCCTCTGAGCCAATAAGCAAGAGTGGTGCTGAATGAATCCAATTATCATCTACAAACTATCCTGAGCAACACCTTGCACCAGGCCACACTACACTTTCATCAAGTGGATAACAAAAGTGCCTATATAAACTATTACATGCCTTGTTATTATTATAGAAATGATCCATGAAGACAAGTTTTGTACATATTTACACATTATATTTGTAATGTATGTAAAATTTCCCTTGAATTTAAACTGAAGTGTCTCCAAAGTGACATAAAATAGTGCCATACTATTTGAAAAATATCTAATTGTCTCACTTCTTCACTGAGGCCTGACTAAAGTCATTATTAATACACATTTTTGATGAATATACAGTTCAAATTTATCACAATGCAACTTTGTGGATGGACTATCATTAAATACATATAGTATATTTTTTAATGTTTTACACATAATATTTCTGTAATTTTCTATGACAATATTTTAACTTAATTAATGAATTTTAATTTCATTTCATTTATTTATTTATGATTATTTTTAATCAATTTATTTTATTTCATTTCATTTCATCTTATTTTATTTTATTTTATTCTAATTTATCTAATGTCCTATGTGTGAAATAGAATTGAAGCTTAGTTTACTGTTTGAAGTGCATTAAATTGTGGCTCATGATGGCCCCTTTGATTACCACAAAAGTGTCAAAGTTACAACTCTTTTATAACTCTTTTATAACAATGCAACTTTGTGGATGGACTATCATTAAAGTGTTTTTTTTACATAATATTTCTGTTATTTTCTATGACAATATTTTAATTGAATTAATTAGTTTTAATTTAAATATTTATAATTATCTTTATTTGTTCATTTATTGGTTTATGTATTTGTTTACTTATTTTTGTTTTAATTTAATTTTCTATTTATTTTTTTTCTAAATCAACAGTGTGAATGGACTATCATTAAATACATTTTTTAATGTTCCATATATAATATTTCTTTAATTTTCTTTGACAATATTTCAATATAATCAATTGATTTAGATTTAATGTTCTTATTTATTCATTTATTTATAATTAAATGTATGTATTTATTTATTTTGATTTCATTTTAATTTAAAAGTGATTTAATTTTGTATGTTTGAAATAGAAGTGAAGCTTAGTGTACCGTTTGATGTGCATCAAATTGTGGCTCATGATGGCTCCTTTGATAACAACAAATCTTTGTAAACAACAAAGTTACAACTCTCTTACTACATGTCTGATTATTTAGACTAAACTCATTCACATTCACATAATAAGCGGTCATTGTCTGCAGCTCCATCCTTGTAATAAAAGAACACCATGTCCCTGAATGCTGCTACTGTCCCTTTAAGAACACCAGCTCCGTCCCCTCGTACAACTGTTTTATGCAAATATGACAAGCCGAACGTGCCGCGAACCAATCAGAGGCGAGTTCCAACCGCGGGAGATCTAAATTTCGCGGGACGAAGTTTGGCGCTAAAAAAGCTGTTCTTCCCCAGCCAGCTCTCTTGTCCTGTTGTATGGAGAGCGGAGCTGTGAGCCGGACGGACAGGAGTCACACACCGGGTCGGATCCGCATCACAGGGACTCACTGCACACTGTAGATCTCAAGGTGGAGCCTGATCTCAAGGAGACCTGGAAACCTGCTGGTACTGGACTTTATAAAATACGGGGTGTTTTAAGTTGAATATTTATTTAACCTGCAGTTTGGGTGTAGCTTGTGTGGCAAGTTTCCTCTGCACTTTGTGACGGGACAAAGGATAACACCGATCTGTGTGCAGCGTTCAATGACGCATATTATTATAAGATAGGGCTGGATTCTCTGTTTAACTCATGCATTTTGGATTTAATAGACAGATCTCTGCTGTGTGAGGCTGTTTTGTTGTTATATTAGCATAGTAGGAGTATATGTTCGCACAATAGCAGCAGCAGCAGCAGCTTGCTAGTAGCAGGGGATAGTCAGCAGAGCATTGATCGCAGTGCTGAGCTCCCAGCTTTGACCAATCCGGTTAAATTTAGTTTACTCAGGAAAATGATGCGGATGCCTAAAGGCGTCTCTCCGGCACCGGCTCGGCCAGTGGCGCTGCCCTGCCCTCAGCAGAAGATGAAGGTTGTGTGCACCGGAGGAGTGAAGACCGAGTTCTTCAGCACCGGACTGTCCAGCCCGCCGATGAGCTCGGTACCGGCCGGCTACTTCACCCAGATCTGCAACACCGCCGCGGCCGAACAAAGAGCCAACAGCCTGTACTCAACCCCCCACGGACCAGAGGCTAAACCCATCAGATCATCCTCCGGGCGACTGCCGGTAAAGAATCAAACACACACTGCAAATACACACACAATACAACCCTGTGGTGCAAACACACACTTTTAAAAAGCTGCATACAGTGTCCAGTTTTGTGTGTTCATGTGGGTGGACTCTTGATTTCCAATGGTATGCATGTGTAGCAGAGTTTAGGGCACATTCAAATATGTTTTGACGTGATAAGCCACAGAGGAGCCACTGTGACTGCTGCTCCTCTGTGTGTGTGTGTGTGTGTGTGTGTGTGTGTGTGTGTGTGTGTGTGTGAGAATGGTGTCCCCTTTGCCTGCAGTGTTAACTTGTGTGACATCTTTCCCCGCAGTCCAGCTGTAGCCACACAAGACAAGACGCAGTGTGTGTAAATGTGTGATGGTTTTGGTAAGGGGATGAGGGGAGGAGGGGGGGTTTGATAGTGTTTGGAGAGTGTTTGGGGGGGCCCCTCGCTTGTGAAAAGGAAGGATGAGAGGCCTCCACAGTGGGAGATAGCCAGGGCCGGGGTGGCTTTTACACTATCAAACAATGAGCAGGCTGGTGGCAGACACTAATGTAAACATTTCACTGGTCTATTGAGCATCTTGTGAGCTCTAATTTGACATGAGCAACAGCTTTTTTTCTGATTACACCCATGTGACAGCTGCTCCCACTGCACCTGTCGCCGAGGCAATGCACAACCTGTGTAACCTGTCTGTATCACCATAGGAAGGAGGTGGAGGTCAGAGGTCGGAACAGGACAACTGGTGTGTTTCCCTGAGAGCTTGTAAAAATCGAACTCTCATCCTCAATATGAGCCACGCACCCCTATTCCTCGAGGATTATTTGGAAAGCTCTATGATCTGAGAGGATTGGATCACGCTCAGCAACGTGTTAGCGCTCCACACCTGCTGTTGCTTGTTATATTTGGTCTCCTCTTCGCAGCCAGCCAAGTTGCCGTCGTTTAGTTGGTGAATTGCAGCAAGACTAAAGGGGGTTAGGGGTTAAAGTGTGTACAGGGGTCTACAAATCTCATGTTAACCTCCTGCCCTTGGAGCCTGTATTCACTAATAGGCCCCTTCAAGAGGATTAGCAGGACGTAAGTAAAGTGAGAAACAGGCAACCACCTGGTGAACTTAATTACAGTTACAACCCTGTATGCATGCCTCCATCCTCCATTTTGTTTAGTAATGTATTAAAATGTGTTTTCCTCCTTTTAATCCAGCACTAGGAGAGGTTCATGTGACAGATAGGGTGTCTTGATAGGGTTTATTATACACATACTGCGGCGCAATCATCAGAGGATGGTGACATGTTGCTGATATGGGAGCCAGAGTGCTGAGTGTGTTTTCTCGCTGATAATGGGGCTGTCCATTATTTCCCTCTGCCATACATTCACTATATATGTGCTATACACTAGTGTTTGAATGTGTCGTGACCACATGAGTGACTTGAAGGAAAGCAGTGTGTTTTTTACTTGTAGCACGTTGTCACAGGTGACGTTGGCCATCTCTGTTGCAGTGGCAGGTTTCAAAAGCCCCCAAGTCCCACGGTTCTGAAACTTCCCCAGCACATGTCAGTAAATTGGGTAAAGTTGCATCTCTGGGGGGAAATTGCACCCTAAAGTCTTACAAACAAATGATGCAGAAATGTGTAGGAATATCACAACTAGTAACTTTGCTAAAGGAAAGATCCTACAGCTGTTTAACTTACAAACGTATAAGCTGATGATGTCACAGCTTCCTCTTTGTCACTTTATTTTTCACATGAGAAGACAGGAGTTTCTACTTCAAAGCACAGATGTTGTCGTTGCTTTTTCTGGGGTTTTCTGAGGCCTTTATAGCCTCAGAGGCAGATTTAAATTCATCAATAACAGATGGCAGCACCTGCCAGGTTTTTCAGGGTCATGTCCTCATATGTTGTCCTCTTTAAATCCTTAAATACAGAGATTCAGATGTAGAGCAGTATCCAAATTAAGGCAAGCTTCGGTTTTGAGCAACAGAGCATCACTGCTGCACCTGGTATGGACTAGAAATTAAGTCTGGTTTCATGCAGCCTGTTGACAAGGCTGTTTCAATGATTATAAAAGGGAATAATGATCATGATATATATAAAACAGAATTATTTCTCTGCATGGCTGAACTTGAAGGTAGCAGGGACTCTAGTGTCTTCTTTGCGCGCTTGCTGACACATCAGCTTCACTGCATGTGCAGTCATGGGTCTTCTGTTTACAGGAAGTGTAACTTCTTCATGTACAGCTCACTTCCTTCAGCTTGAACAACAGTACACTCTGTAACCACTGTCTTTTTAGCCTGTTTTTTTTTTTCACAGGGTAACAGGATGCTTGGCTCAGCATGAAAACCTGAGTTCCTTTAAGCACAGACAAATCAGTCACACATAATCCCATGCTTCAAAGCTTACTCGCGGGGCACGTGTTGTGAAAAAACAAAGAGAAAAAGGTTAATGTTTGACTGCGTGAAGTTAACTTCAGCTGCAAAGATCTCGTCTTTACTTATTAATCGTGCTAACTGTAGTAAAAAAGGCAGTGTATCTGTGATTGTCATGTGACTTTTAACCATGCTGTTGATAATGTGTCACTCTTGTTTCCTTTCCCGTTGATAGGGATGTAAATGTGTGACAGGATCCATGCCTGCGTCAAAGTCCAGGGAAGTTCTTTCTGTCAGCGACGGCTACTTTTGATCAGATCTCAAAGCGCATGGATGAATGAATTTGTCTGTTTCAGATGCCACAAGTCGTGTTTACTACGGCCAAATGGCAGTCTGGCAAGAAGATGCATCTGCATAATGTCGAGCAGACACAATGTCCCGCTTATTCCCTGCTTATGTCACATGTGCGTGTTCCCCGGATTTTCATGGAATGTGCGCAATCTGCCAAAACTCTATCAGCGCTTCATGAACTACTCTTTCTGGAAAACAAACCTCTGACTTATAACTTCCAGTGACGTCTTGAATCACCTTGTAGTTCCAGAGATTCTTGTTTTGGTGAGCCCCCATTCAGAAGGGTGACACTTGGGTGTGACATTGGCCAACTGTATGCAGTCACCCAAAGCCTCCCTCTGTTTCTCTATGCGCTCTCATTTACCTCATTTTACCCCGGCCTCAGGCCAGTGCTGGCCCTGGACATTATGTCCTCAATAGGGGGAGTTTTGCATTTCAAAGCATCCTGTTCCCACCCCTCTCTATCTCCCCACCACCAACACACCAAAAGGACAAGTCCGCCCTTCTGTTTCACCTCTCCAGAGCCATGTTGTCAGTCTCATCAGCAATGCATGCATTGTTTCCCTTTGACTCTCCGAGGGTGTGGTGGTGACCAAACCTTCTGTTTGTGTACAGAGGAGTGGATATTTGCAGGCGTACTGTAACTTGCCCTCGGCTTGAATGGAATCCGAGTCCCATGCCGCCCCCAGGTTTGTTGGTTTGAAAAGAGGCCAGACTGCTGAAGCCCTTCACGTGACTGTGACTTTGTGTGTGAAATGCCACTGTGGATTTCACCACAGCGGCAACAGCAACGGCGTTGGCGGGAATTGGCCAAAGAATGTACAGCAAACAGGAGAAGCCATGTGCAGCGCTTTGGGTGTAACAGGGCAGGCGACTCTTGGAGATAGAGAGTTAATAGGAGTGTATCTGGCTCAGCCCTTTCCTATTTCCTCTCACAGTTATTGGCCCAAACAGTGGCTGCACAGTAACTACGCAGGAACTGATTTTAAATTGAGTAACGTGCTTGTTATGATAATTGCAATGCTCACAATGTTCAGCTTTCTGTGTGAGATTGATCCAAATGATCGCATTTAGTCTGTCAGGATGTATTGTGTGTCCTCGTATACGTGTCATGCAGCATGCCTGTGTGTTTCCCTATAAATCAACAGCCTCTCTTTCCACTACATGAAACAGTGTTTGCGTAATATGGTTGACTCACCAGAGAAATCCCTCATGCAAAAAAGGGAGCACCCAAGCCCCCACCCTCACCCATACAGCTGCAGGGTGAAACCGTTGGTTCCCCTCTTACAACATGTCACTATGCCTGTGGCTGCTCTCAAATTGTAGACCTACAAGCCTAAAAAATGTAGACATGGCGCAGCTTAGTCTGCACATTAAGGTCATGGGAGTTAAGAGGCTCTAATGTCAAGGAGCCTTTTTCTATACAGTACTTATTCTGGGACTGGAAGACTCAGGCAATCAAGTAAAACCAGAAAGATCTTCCCTCTGTTTAAACAACAGCTGTCACAGCTTGTAGAAACTTCAACCAGTTTCTAGTTCCTCTCTGTGACCCCTGGTATTTGGCAGCTACGGTCAGGACCTAGAGCCAACAAAAACACAGCCTTTAATCCCATAAATAACTGCTAAGAGTCACTATTTTGCTCAAAGTAGCAGGTCCTCATGGGCCAAAATTCCGTAGCCCCAATAGTCTAAAAGTCCCATTGGACTGAAAGGCCATTTCTCCAACAGCCCGTTATTCCCAAAACAAACGCTCAAGGCCCAGAAGTCTAATTTCTCCAAAAATACACACTCCCTATAGACTCTTTAAGGCCGACATCACAATGACATCAGTTTGTGAGCTGGAGGCAAAACACGACTCACCACCACAGGGCTGTAGGCTACATAGGAGTCTTAAAATATCGTCTTGTTGTGTTATTGGGAGCCAGAATAGAAGGATTCATGGCTCAAAACTTAAATTTTATCACATACCAGCTGCCACTGCCCCTCAACGCACATTTCATGTCAGGTTATGGAAAAAATATTTACTGTTGTAGATGAATTACGAAGGTGTATTAACGGTTATCCACCTAATCAGAAGTTGGGGAAGTATTAAGAGGAATATTGGATTGCTCCGGAACGCTAACTTTTTAGCGCATTAGCTAACGTGAGCTACGATAGCAAAACAAAATGGAGGAAACTGTTCAAGTGTGTCCTTTGTAAGACAACAAAGCCGGCCCTCCTGTCAAATCATCCATCCACTGAGTGAGAGCATACAGATCGGCCAGTCTTGTCACGTCGGTCAGTGTTTACTTATTCAAGTAACAGTCGCGGTTCCGGAGAGTGAGAAAACTGGCATGGTGCATTCGTAAACTCAGTCTGACACTCTACGCTAAAAAGAGAGCCCTGTTGGTTGAAGAAACGGAGCGTTATATTTCTATATGAATTAACAAACACTTAAGTTAATCACACATTTACTGCAGTTGTCGCGCTGCTGCTCCATTTCAGAGTGCCTAGAGAAGCCTCTGCCATTCCGCGAGTGTGGTGCTGTGAAGAACCAAATGGTATGTTTTGACAGCACTTCAAACTTACGAACCATCCAGTTCGTGCCAGAGTGCACTTCGGCACTCGAATTGAGTATTTCTGACTGCACAACGCGCATTATCGTCCTCCGTTGTCTAAAATAAGCCAACAGAACTTGCTAGCTAGCGCTGGCTAATGTCTGTGGAGAATTGTTTTACCTCCAGCTAAGCCCCGCCCACTGAAAAACGTCATACTGTTTCCCAGCAGCGTTTGAGGCACTGAACCTGGGTGTTTTTCACTGACCAGTCCCTGACTTTTCAGCAAATTTGTACCACCAAATGTGGCTGTTTCAAGCCACATCACGATCTTTTCCTAACCATAACCAAGTAGGTTTTGTGCCTAAGTGTAACCACTCATTCACCACAGCATTGTTGACGAAAGTAGCATATCCATGGTTCACAGAAACATACACTTTGAACATTTTTTTTCTGTTGATTAGGTTGTCCAACTGCAGGGATCTTGTATTTTTGGCGAAAGGGGACTCCGCAGCAACGGGTGTTTGTTTTGGGGATAATGGGCTGTTGGAGAAATGAGCTTTCAGTCCAATGGGACATTTTCAGCTAACTGGGCTTCAGAAGTTTGGGCTGTTTGAACAATGAGCAGTCCCCCATTCTGTGCCCTACTGAAGCTGGCCGCCTGTATGCTGTAGGGATTAAAAGCTGCCCCGCCAGCAGCACATACACTTGCTGTGCTGCTCCAGATGTCGCCAGTCAACAGGTGGACATGTCATGGAGCACACTGGGACAATGGCAGCCTTCATTATCCCCACACTCACACTGGCACATCCACACGTGGTTAAGTCAATTCAGCACTTTTCCCCGTCTCGCAAGAAGTCTGTCGCCCTAAACCTATTAGCTAAAGCACCGCTGTGACAAAAAGGGATTATTGTTGCCAAGTCTTTTTGAAGAGACGCGGAGGAAAGGCGAGTTTGTGAGACAACACAGAAATGAAAGGATAACAGGGAGTGAGGTGAGGGCCTAACCAGATGCGACATATTACCCAGCAGCCTCGGTAGCATCTAGCTTAATTCCCACGCCTCGTTAGCACTGTCACCAGAGTGTTTCTGTGTGGGCGCTCTGCGCAATGAGGGTAATGAATGCAGACTGACTGCAAACTTTGTTATCCAACGACTGGCAGGAATTCTGCATGTTAGCGTGACGCCACTTTCTGCAGCTATTTCATCTCTCAGACAGTTGGTTATTACTCAGTTCTTCAAGGGAGTTCATTTGACTTTCACTTTTGTTATGTTGGGTCAATGTAGGTCATTGAAAAGAAAGTAGTGGTCACATGAAGACATTTCGTTTTATTGTGGTCCAAAGGTTGTGTGTGTGTGCTTCTAATTGAAGCTGCAGGTCTTAGTGTATGATGCATTACAGTTATAGTCAAGTAATCATCTGTTTGTAAGAGTGGAGAGCCTGTGTGTGTGTTAATGTTGTAGAAGAAAGGGGACATTGGGAGGCTTGAGAGGGGGAGGAGAGGTCACTGAGTGTTTCCAGGGATTTCCTTGCATTTCGCATGCAGTGGGTTGGGAGTCGATCAACCCCCTTTCCCTATCCGCCCCCCCACAAACACACGCACACACACACACACACACCATCAGCCCCTCGTGAAGTGCTTGGGAAAGTGTGACGGGGGTGCTTTGTTCCTGCACTTGAGGGCTGTTGGCACATTTACAACACTTCTCAACAGCCCCCCTATTTAACACTTTTACTAGCACTGTTTCATGGATTGGCTGGACGTGGCCTACACGCTTCATTCTCATGATTAGACTTTAAACTTGCCATTACGTAAAGTCAAGACTGTTTCCAGAAGACCATCAGCTAGAATAATATTCAAATGGGGAATATGTTCACATTATAGATATTCTTACGAGGCCAGATTGATTAGGTCATACTGAACACTATAAGAACACCATCTTTGCTTTTATATGTACTTTCTTTACTGATGTACATAAACTCTTTCCTCTCTAGGCTAAAAGGAAGCTGGATCTTGAGGACCCTCTTTACATGCCAGAGTTCCGAACACCAAAAGGCAAAAGCAGCATCGCAGCCAGGATACCAAGTCCAAGGAGTGAGTACACCGACGACAGATCTGGGAATACATGAATGTTAAAGAGGTGGTGTAATGTGGTGGGTTTAATGGGTATATACTTGCTGGGAGTGGTATCCGTGCTGATAACATCACTGTAATGCTTCTGTTTAAATCAAGTTTACAGTACATAAAGGGAGAGGCAACTTAAAGAGAGACCCTTCCTCCATGTGGAGAAGGAGGCACATGAGGAGCTCTAATAGGTCAATGGCAATAACAAAAAATACTGTAGAGTTATGTTAAAGGAACACTTCTTTGTTTTTCTTGCATGTCTCCATGATGACTTAAGAATCCAAAAATGGAGGAAACTCCTCATGGACTGAAGTCACAGGGGTCTGCATTTAGCTACAGTAAAACTATTTAAAGCATCAGTTTACTAACTCTTACACAGCTCATGCAGTACAGTCCAAGTCTCATTAAACCAGTCACATGCTCAGTTCTTCCCAACCACATGGATTTTTTCGCTAAAAACTTACTATGTAAAACTGAACTGAAAGTGAAAATGATTTATGCTCTCTTCAAAGCCAGACTCCTTTGACAAAAACGGTAATTTTGGAGCCTCATGAATCATGTGAAGAGGACCATGTATGTTGGAGTTACAAACCACTTCCTATTTGGTGGCGAAACATGGAAATTTGACACCTCGCCACGGTCACATGGTTTGACGAAAACTCAAGCTTTAAGCAACTTTTGATATCCAAGGTCTTAGGATGCTACAGACAAAATTTGAAATCAATTGGATCTAATCTGTAGGAGGAGTTTGTAATAGTGCGACCCCTGGAAATGGCCAAAAAATGCACCACAATGACACATTAAATCTAAAATGGCTGACTTCCAGTTAGGTTTCGGGTATGGCTCCAAGAGGCTTTTTTTGTAGGTCTTGGGGTGTTGCATGTGCCTACCACCAGACCCATATCGGATGTAAATTTTTTCGTCAGTACTGATGCACGTGCAAAGTTCAATGAGTTTTCAGGCACCTTAAAATGTGATTCTTTTTGGTCATTTGGGGGGTGAAATATTCCTTCATTATAACTCTATGGTAATGTTACAACTTTCTGTTTATTGTTTGTTATTGCCATCGTCCTGTTAGAGTTCTAGTGTACCTCTTGCTCCACATGGAGGAAGGGTCTCTTCACAATATAACTAGATAGAAGAGCGACATAAAAAGTCCAATAAAATACTGTAGGTACAAAGAGATAAGTCTCAGGAAGTTGTCTAATTACAGTTCTTTACAATAGTGCAAGTCCAAAGGAAGGAAGGTGGAGCAGGGATTGTGCAGCAGGGGGAAAGGTAGTGTAAAGATGGAGGATGTCCAACTCTTCAGATAGGTACAAGAGCCTGAGGAACTAAAATCAGAAAAGTCGAATTATTTGACCAGCAGCAGAATAAAAAGTAATGGCTTGTGTGGGATGTAATTTTTGCACACAAATGGTCAACATGATGGAGACAGAGGCAGATCATTTACACAAAATGATATGAGTCACATTCACGCAGGAATTAAGGTAATTGACATATTCATGTAACAAAATTCTGCACCTTCAGTGTGTTTACCTGCTCACACTGTTTTAATTTTTGGAATAAGACTGAGCTGTGGGAGAGATTTGAAGCCTTTGAAATTTCTCTGCAACAGCATTTTATGCAAATAAATCAAATGCTGTTTCAGGGTAAATATTCTTTGGCTTTTTTGTTAAATGTTTACATATCATTGTTTGTTTCTAACTGTTCCGCTCTTCACGTGCCTCTGTCCGTGTCTTTGCTCTCAGCTCCAAAGTCTCCAGGTGAGCGGACGCGGTACGACACCTCCTTGGGCCTGCTGACCAAGAAATTTGTGGGTCTGATTGCGGAGTCTCCTGATGGGGTTCTTGACCTGAACTGGGCCACTGAGGTTCTGGAGGTCCAGAAGAGACGCATCTATGACATCACAAATGTCCTGGAGGGAGTCCAGCTCATCCGAAAGAAGTCCAAGAACAACATCCAGTGGCTGTAAGTACGAATGCAGAAGAGGACATTTAATATGAGGAATGGAAATAGATGTATGGAAAGAAAATGTTTAAGAAATACAGCCACTTTGTTATTAAGTCTAACTGGCTCATGATCCGAGGCTGTAGAGTGGGAATCAGGGACAAATGCAGTTACCAGACAGTGTAACAGGTGACATTTGTTAAAGGCTGTGATCAGACTGCAGGCAAAAGTGTTTATTTTGCTCATATATGACTCAGATCTGTTTTTTTCCATAACAATGTGGACAGCAGAAGTCACATGGAAACTGATCTTTTCAATTCTGATCTGTGCAACTTTCATCTGTGGTCCTAAGTCAGATACAGGTCTGATTTTTTTTTTTCTAATGCAGCCTTGGTCTGAATAGTTATACTGGAATTCATGCAACTTTTACATCACTTACCTGAACCGAGTGTCCTGCTGCAAGAGTCTTACAGAGAGGTGCTGACAGATGTAGTTAAAAGTGGCCCTAAACATCTTGGAATTTTAGATGAAATCTGTTTCAGGTCACAATCCCTCCACTCTGCTTCCACACACTTCCACATCGAGGTAGCAGCCTCTGCCGCACAAACATTGATAATTAAAATCCTGACTCTGTTTCTCCTCATCCTTGTTGTCATCTGCTTTCAAACTCGCTGGCATCCGCTGCACTTAAACTTGGAGATAAAACCGTAGACTCCGACTAAGGGCTCATTTATGCTCAACGTTAAATACGGATCCGGATACGGATGGAGCCTTCTGTCCGTGCTCCGCGTTCATTTCGTCCGTATTTCTGCATGTTTCCATAAGGGCTCATTTATGCTCCCTTTACGTACGAAAATGTATACGTCCGTTTCAAACGATGTTACCGTCACTGCCCACATATGCTTTATGGCAGTGACGTAAGCTTTGTCCTGTAAGAGTCCGTATCCGTAAGCTTTATGA